TACCCAGTAAGTTCCCGGTTGACCAATGGATTCCCATCCGTGTTTTAAAAGCTATTGGAGATATATAAAGGCTGGGTGGGTAGACAGATAGATGGATAGAAATCCCATAAAAAAACAAACTGTATTTCAAAAATACAACTATGATTTGAGCCATCTTGCTTATCAGAGGACAGCAGCATTCCATTTAGGAAGATAATTTCCATTTTGGTTAATAATGTCTTGATAGTTGTAGCAGAAACTATTAGCTGTCTACCAAAATGCTGTCTCTCTTTCCTCCACTGCGATGATTCTATCTGGAAAGTGGATACCAGCCTGATACCACACTTCCCGGTGCCCCTTACCCCAAGTAAAGGCCACGTGACTGTTCTCAGCACAGAATGTGAACAGCAGTGGTGTGCACTGCCAGACCTGACCCATGTCCCCACGACTCCGCCTCTCCACATTCCTTCAACTGACTGAGACTGCAAGGACTGGAAGATCCTTGGAGGCCAGTGCTCCAGTTGGCAGAACTGCCATTAGCCTGGTTTCCTGAATGACTGGCTGGAGCAGAAATACTCACCCCCCATGTGAGACAAATATGTTTTTGATCACGTCATTTTGAAGTCTTCTCTCCCCCCAGCAGTTTATCATTTTACCCTAGCACAATGGAATTCTCAGTGAATCAAAATCAATTCTTTCCCACTTCCTACCTTCTTGCTACTTCCACAGTATGGAAAGAGCACAGAAGAAAGTCCAACAGTTCTGCAGAAAATTGTGAGAGAAACCATGAGTTTTCATGGGCACCTTGAGAGAGAGATAATGAGATCTCCTGGAATGTGGAGAGAAATAGAGGGAGAAAAGAGGACTAGAGTGACACAGGGGTCAAAAGAGAGGGTGTAATCAGTGATAAACACCCAGTGGCAGGCACAACTGAGTATCAGAACATCTAACACTCACTGTGATGTAGCCCTCACTCCAGTACCCCGAAAATCTTCAGCAAATCCTACAACACAAAACTGCCCCGTGTTAAATGGTCTTTGGGGTGATGATGCTGTGGGGCCAAGCAAATGTGGTATTATAGACGCAGGGCACAATGTAGAACCAGATCTGGGTTCAAGTCCCTTCACTCACGTGCCTTTGCACAGCTGTGAGTTTCCTCATTACGAAGTGACTAAGTAACCCCCCTGGGACTTCCAGTTAAACATGGCAGCCTGATCTGCTCTCCCTGGAGTCCTACTAGTGCAAAAGTAGAATAATCTCTTCAGGCACAAACCCACAAGGACAAATAGAAGAGGAGTAAGCAATCACAAAATATTGAAAAGTGGAAATTAGACAGCCAAATAGTACCTGACAACATAATGGGGAAAGCTGAAATCCAAGCAAGTTGTGGGGAAGACCAATGATAGGTTATTTGGGCTTCAGAACCCTGGAAAATCTAAGGATTCAAAATAGCAGGCACCGCCCCCCCAAAAGTGAGGATGCAGGTGGGGCTGCAAATGAGAGGTTTGCCTGAAAGTCTTTATGAGGAATAATTAGACTCTCAATATCCTCTTCTACCCTGGCAGAAGACTAGACTTTCTCACTCTAAAGAGATAAAAACAGAGAATTCAGCAGCACTGGGAACAACTAAGGATGAAGGGGGAAGGCACAGACTGTAAATAGGGGAACTAATTGAGGGGAAGATGCAGCCCCTTTCCCCATTCAGCTCCCACACCCCTGCAGCAGGAATTATGTACCACCTCCACCCCTGGCAGGACACTGTGGAACCGGCTCTGATTAAACCAACTATCCCAACAGAAAAGACCTACAGGTACTGACATTCAGTGGTACCCCAAAGAATCAGCCCAGCCACATTGCCCTGGAATGTCATTCATAGTCAAAAAACTTCACCCACGCACATAGTTTCCAAACAGATTTTTAGTGCTTCACTCTTAAATATGAGCAACAGCCAAGGATTGCCAACATATAATGAAGGATGTTGACAAGAATAAAGTGGAGTTGACTATCAATGTTAATTACAGTATGTCTGAACATGTTGAGAGAAGTTCTCACTTCCTTTGCAGAATTAAGAGATTAGTTGAGAGGTATAGAAACTATACAACCAAAAAATGGACAAGTATTAACCCCGGGGAAAACAAAAATTTACACAAGAAAGGAAATGTGATCACAGTACTCTACATGGTTCAGCTGCAAAGAATGGATTATACGGTCATAATATCAAGACTAAATATTGGTCCAACCAAAAAGATGACATAATTCTGTTGGAAGGCAAGAAAGAACACAAGTACATCTGTATATTGGGGGAGGGGTGGTAGCAAAAACCTCATTTTCTATAGTAGGAAACTAATTGTAATGTCTAAATGTGCCCATGAAAAAGGAGGCTGTATAAGCATGATATTTTAAAAATATGGAGACTAATGTCACAAAAAGAGTTGAAAGTGACTGCCTCTTGGAAGTGGGACTCAGGGGAGGTGAAGAGCAGAATTATTAGACTTTTTTTAAACCATGTACATGTGTATAAGTGTCCAAATAAAACACATGTTTAAATAAGGTGCTGAAGTTCATGAAGATGTCTGCTAAGTTGACCTGTATTACAGCCATATAAATTGTCATGAATTCTTTTCTTTTTGTATGTTATACTTGATGACGAACTTTTTCTTTTTCCTCTTTTTTCCCTCTCCTCCTAATGGGGCCCAATGATTGAGAACAATACTGACAGCAATGACAGCTGCTACCCTTTATTGTCTTATTTAATCTTTGCAAAAAACATGATGGGGTTGGTGCTACTTCTTGTTCTGTCTTAAGGAAAGAAACCGAGTTTAGAAAGACTCTGTAACTTTGCCCAGGCTACATGATAACAAAGGTGGATCAAGGGTTGAACACAGGCACTGTGACCCCAGAGCCTGCTCACTGACACTACATGCTGGAAAGCTTCCTGTCACTGAAGCAGGTGGTAAATTAGAAGCTTCAGTTTGCTGACTGCAAACCTGCAGCATCCAAGAGCCATGCGTGAGAACAGCCATCATCAACACAACACATGCCCTGCCCACTTTGGCCAGGTAAGTGTTACCTCACCAGCCTGGGCCCCTATCCCTGATCCCTGGTAAGGCCTCTGAGCTAAGATTTCACAGTCCCATGGCCATACCTGGTGCCTGGAGAACAGTTCATGGGTAACACATGACATCAGCTTGACACTTGGCCTGTGCAACCCCTGTTTCAGCTCTTGGGGGCCTCTCCTGCTGTCTTGGTTAAACATCTGCTGACTATAACCTACAGCCTGCAGCACCTGGCCAAGATCTCCCTTCCCTCACTCCCTGGCAGAGTGCACAGCTTGGCTAGAAAAGTCAAAGCCATGAGGACCTAGGAAGAGTTACAAGGTAATAGCACATCCTCAAGGGCCAAGTGAGAGGCCTCAGCTCAAGACCTTATGGCAGATGAAAAATGGCATGAAATTCTTTGCTAGTCCTCCCACTGAGAGTGGAGTCTAATCCCTCCTCTCGAATGCACGCTGGCTCAACCGAGCTGACCCTTGAGACCGCGATGCTGGAGAGCCCACCTGGCGGGTCCCTCCAGGCCTCTCAAACACTTGCTCAGGGGTCCTCAGCGAGAAGCAGCAGAGTGCAGAGCATCCCTGAGAAGGGGAGGGAGGGGCAGGGGGCTCAGGAAAGGAGAGCAGGAAGAAGGCAGAGGGGATGCCTCATGGGACTCTGGAGCACCCAGCATGCTGTGCTCTTCTGCCTGAGTCAGGCAAGGGAGGAGAGGAGCCGTCTACACCTGCCAGGGAGACCCTCCTGGGGCTGAGAGCCATGTACAGACAGCCCTGCACTCCCTTCAGAGCCCTCTGCCCTCCGAGGATTCCACAGAGGAAAGGAAGGGCAGACTCCCAAGGAAGCCACAAAGCCCACCCAAGGGTGGGTCTGGCAGGCCAGGGCACTCAGATTTCCACTCCTGTGCTTTCTCTGTAACACCAGGCTGCACCTGAGTAACCACCTCGGAGGTATGAAGGGAGGAAAGGCAGGGGGAGGGAAGAGGAGGGGAGAGGAGGGGAGAAGAGGAGAGCGGAGAGAAGGGGAGTGGAGGAGAGGGGAGGGGAGGGTAGAGTTGGGTTCATATCCCAGGTCAAAGTGGGTTTTCAGGCAGGGCCCTGGCTGTGTAACTGTTACAGTTCAGGGAAGGAACTTAACCCACTTATGACCTCGTGCAAGCACACACACACATACAGAGGTATCAGACTGAAAGGAGCTACAAATCACATACCATGTTCTGCTCCGGGGAAATGTGGGTTCTGAAGAACCTTCTAGAAACATGTGAGCACCAAGACCCAGCCCTCTGTTCACCATTTGCAATAGACACTAATGTCCAAGTGCCCGGGAAGGAAGAAGTGCCTGGATAGATTTCTGACCACAGTGACCCACCCCAGCGTCCACCCACATGCTCGGTGGCTCATGGAGTCAGGTGGCTGCAGGTGGCTCTATGGATGGAGTGAGGGCCTGGGCTATGGAGCAGCTCTGCACCCCGTGCCCTGGGCCTGAGCACAGACCCGCAGGCAGGGGGCACGTGCACGCAGCGCTCACACACCCGCTCCAAGCCTCTGCCTCTCTGAGACATGTGGGGCTTTTCACTCGCCTGCAAACCCCAGTGACTCAGAGCTATGGAGTTTCCAGATCTTCCTCCTTGGAGCTCAAATGACATAGCTGAGTAATTAGAGGGGTTGCAAGGGTCAGAGCACCGGTTTCCCGACCCTCAAGCCACTCTGGAGGACAGCAGAGACTCTGGTCATAAGGACCATCTTCCCTCAGAGCCCCGAGGCCTGACCACACCACCACACCCAACCCGCCACAGATGGGGCCTGGGGCCTGCCTCTGCCCTGCCCAGAGGTCCCCATCGGGCTCTACCCCCTCCCGTGGAATTCTGGTAAGGGCAACGGGAGGAATGGGACAATGGCCTAAAATTAGAACCCACAGCAGAGGCATGGAACTCTGAGTCATGCATTGTTCCTTTTCAGTTGGTTCTGTCCCCAGTGAGTGCTGACAACAGGGCAGGAGCAAGCCAGGCCTGGGGAGAGGGGCTGTGGGAGTGGCGGCCCCGTGTGCCTGGCTCCTGGACATCAGAGACTGATGAGAGGACAGAAGGCCAGCATTGCCCTGGGGTCAGTACTAACAGGTCTGGAATTGGAGACCTGGGCCAGCCACCGCTGTCTTCACCTTCTCCCCGCCTGCCATTGGGCCGCGGGCCCAGCCTAGATAGCATTTCTGTGCGAAGTGCACTGTGCACAGAAGATGCCTGGGCCGTGGTCAGGATTGCTCAGGAACCACTGTGCGGCTGGTCCCTCCCCCAAGGCCACAAGCTTGTCATCTTCCCAGAGAAAAATGATTCATAGGTGTGTCTCCAGTCTGCACCCCCAGGAAGGGGACTGTATCTCCTTTCTAGCAGGTTGAGGGCTTCATGACGGTGGGGGTCCCCAGCACGGAATCTTGCCCCAGAGACCTCTCGTCCATCTCCTCAGCACCCCACAGGCTTCCTTTAAAGAAGAAACCTATATTTGGAGCTTCTGTCCTGCGTGGGGCTCCTCCACCGTCACCATGGAGGTGAGCGTCCTGTCTGCAGGCAGCTCCAGCCCACGGCGGGAGCCCCTGGTAGGGTGGGCGTGCGTGGCACTGCTTTCCTGTTTGTGCTGGGCTTTGCGGGAGGGGTGGAGACAAGAGAGAGAGTCCCCCTAACCTTTCAGTGGCCCCCAGTGTACCCCAGGTTTCCGCAAAAGACAGCAATGCCAGAACCACCATACAAGCAACTGGTCTAGCGCCAACTCCCCATGCTGAGGGTCTGAGACTGTGGGACCCGGGTAGCCCCACAATCTGCCTCTCCCTGCAGCCAGTGGCAGGAGAAGACCACGCTTAGTGATGCGGGCCTGGTTCACAGTCACATCAGATGAATGCTCGTGGGTCCAGTTAATCACTGCTGGGCATGACGAGGGGACAAGCCTGAGCCAAGACAGGCCAGCAAAGAGGGAGGCAGGGACACGTAGTGGCACAGGGAGTGAAGGTGGGAGACGAGGCTTGGGCGCCTTGGGGTGGGGAGGCAGTGGTGACCCACGTGCCAGCCAGGGATGGTGGGAGAACAGCGGAACCAAGACCAGAAATGGAGGATTCAGGGCCTGAGTTTTGTCAGAAGATAGTGAGAACATGGCTTCTCCAAGGTGACCTCTGCCTCCAAGATCGTGTGAGCAAGGGGACGGCCAGCCGGAGTGGGAACCCGCTGTGAAGTTGCACACGTGTGCACTGTCCCTTCACTGGAGTCCCCAGGGGTCTCGCCCTGCTCTGCCCAACACCCACCCACAGGCTCACGTGCCCCAGATCTCAGAGGAACATGTCTGCTAGACTCAGTCCCCCAAAGGGCAAGGGACACGTCATCTCCCCTCAGAGCCGGCTGACGCTGTAAGAGACGCTGCTGGCAGCTGGGAGAATTTCCCAGGCTGGAGAGTGCCGGGCACGTGGCTGGGCTGCGGGAAAGGGCGGCGCAGCAGCCACTGGCATCCAGGCCTGGGGCGAAGTCAGCTCTCCGAGGGGGTTGGGGGGTGTCTGTTTAGATTGAAAGAAAATCATCAGAAAACCCAGAGCTTCAGTTCCAGTTCAGACCGGCTCATTGGTTTGTTGCCTTTGTAAGATGCAGTCTCTGTTTATAAAGAGTGTTTGTGTATGTTTCCATCTGGGATTCAGCAGATGAGCACAGTGAATTCCAGGGTCTGCTTCACGGATCAGCTCAACTTGAACACACGCACATGCTGCCCTCAGACGGGGGAGCCCAGGCGTGTGCTGTCTCCTGTCTGTCTGCTCCCCAGACAGCCCGGGACGGAGGGTACCCTGCGCAGACTGGAGGCAGGGGCTGCCCCACCAGGAGGAGCAAGGGCTGAAACACCACAGCTGACCCTTGTGGAGACTTCCAATGTGCACGGCTCGTGGATCATCTCATTTAAATCCTGTAACAACCCCAGGCAGTTGGTGTAATTATTAACCCCGTTGTGCAAATAAAAATGGAAATCAGACAGATCGAGCAACATGGCTTCCTGTGGATGCCACTCTGGTGATCTGGATCACCTGCCCTTGGCCTTTTTCCTCCAGTCCCTCCTCCACCCTGATACCAGAGAGCTCTGTCTAATCTCGAATTTGACTGTGTTGGTCCCTGCTTAAAAACCTTTAATAACCAACCTGAAGATAGAGGCGCAGTCCTTGGCACACAATGCCTTCCACTGTGTGATCACAGCCTCTCTTCCTGCCATCCCCAACCTCCAGCCAGTTGGAACTTCTCACCGTTCCCTCAAACAGAGGTGCCCTTCCCCACCCCGCCCTATCCTAAATCGGCCTGACAAAACCGAACTCCACTTACTCCTCAAGACACACGCTTCTCCATGAAAATTCTGTGGCTTCCTTTCCCCCCGTTAAGCCACAGTGCTAGGTCAGAGGTGTTCGGTGTCTGATAGAGGAAGAAAGGAGCCGGGGAGGGTTAGGAAGGAGAAGGAGGTGAGGATTACGGTGATGTTCTGGGCACCAGTGGCCCCTTTACTCCTCCCATGGAAAGCTCCACTCACTACGACATTAGCCCCATGGGGCCTCCTGAGCATGACATTTCGTCCCAGGTCACAGGTACAAGTTGAACTGGAGAGAGTACTCTCATTATTACAGGATTAGAGTTTTTTGGCTTTTTCCCTTTGGGGCAACTCCCTCGCTCTATGGACTACTTTTCAAAACAGCTGTAGTGCTGCAGGCTACTGCAATCTGGGTGTAGGGAGCATTTCCCATTTGTCCTTTTTGAATGTCATCAGATTTAATTCAGCCCAGCTCTCCAGCCTGACAAGGTCTCTGTGGGTTTTTTGACCCTCACGCCTAATCACTTTCCCTCTCGGTCCTGGGTCATACCCTCATCTGATAAGCATAACATCCATGCCTTCATCCCCATGGTCACTGGAATCATTAAACAGGCCTAAACACCCTGCTGAAACCTCCCTCCATCTGACCTCAGTCTTTTCCTCCATCAGCACCCTTTGGGTGTGGTTATTCAACCCAGAGAGCAGGGTAGGAGCAAAGCCTGGCTCCAGGTAATCCCAGGAGATGGAGAAGTGAAGAATCTGCCCAGCAGGGGCCCAGCAGGGGTCCAGCCGGCCTCCGGGAGAGGAAGGGGAGAGCCAGACACCCAGGAAGGCTCCGCGTGGTTGGGGAGCTGCGTCTTCTCCATCTCAGGTGCTTCCCTCCTGCCCCTTCCTCTGCTCTGTGTCTCCTTTTTCCTGCTGAACTCTTATGAGTTATCTCACTTTCAGAATTCCCAGGAGAGACGTGTGGCTGCCTAGTCACCATGCAGGATGGAAAGCACCTGTCGGGCAAACCAGGGTGTCAGGGACATCTCGTCTCCAGCCAGTGGACGGCTAATGTGGGCTCAAGTCCTGATTCCTGAGCCAACCAGCTGTGGCCAGAGGAACAGGGGCCCAACTACAACACCCAGCAGTGACTTGCAAGGAGCTGCCTGAGGCTGCTTGCCCCAGAAGGTGGCGGTGGGGATGGTGGCCTTGGAGTCTCATAGACAAGTGCTCCTGGCACCCAGACTGTGAGAATGGGAGCTCGAGGCTTGTAGGCTGTGGTGGAGCTGGGATCTGAAACTAGACGTGACAAGAGCAGCTCTTTGCTGGGCAGCACAACCAGCTGCCCCTGTTATCAGGGGCAGAAAGTGCCATTGGGCTGGTTGAAAGAGAGCAGATTGGCAGCAGATACTGCCCAGACAGGGTCAGCCTAGGAGAGGCCCGGCAAGAGGGAGCCAAAAAGAAGAATCCAGCAATGCATGTCTACGGGCACCCGGCAGGCTGGGTGGCACAGGAGAGGTGAGCCAGGTCCAGGTCCCCCGGGGCTGCACAGCAGCACAGGGTTCACTGACAAGAGGGGTTCCAAGGACTGGAGTTCCTGCAAGGGCCCGGGGCAGAATGCAGGCCTAGGAACATGGTGGGACCTCACATTAGATTGGTCTTGGGCAAGCCCTAGTCTCTGCATCTGGGGCATGAGGTCACAGCAGGGCTACCAACAGGAGATAATATCCCTGCCTCATCCAATTACAGAACTGGCTCCTTACATTTCCCACGCCTTGGTTGGGATTTATTCCTGAATCCACTTTCCAGAGAGCTGGATGCCTACCTGGCCTCAGCCGTAGGGGAAGGACGAGACAGGGTCAGAGAAGGGTCAGGTCATCCCAGCCCGTGGGTCTCCATTCACTCCCACAGGAATCACTTGAGAGATTTGGTGTGAAACAGGCACACTTGCCCTCTACCCCAGTCACCACTCCCACCTCCTAATTGGTAACTCCTTAAAAATGAACATGAAGGAATTTCAGAACTCTGTCAAGCAGAGCCTGGCCAGTTCCTGGTGATGACCACCTTCTTTTCTGCAGATTCACAAGCTGTGTTTGTATCTACCTAGTCTCGGAACCTACTAGGGTTTGATACCTTCTGCAGTAATCCAGCTCCTCTCGTTTTTAAGTTCAGAATGCCATTGGTCCAGGTTTCCTGACCCTCTCCACGTTTCCAGGATGCCTTGGCATTATTCAGTTGCACAGTGCTCCCAGACCTGCCCGAAACTTCCCTGCAAGATACCAGAACATCAGTTGATCACCCCCAGGGCAATGGTTGGGTATTGTCTGAGTAATCAGGTTACAAGTGCAGTGATGGAATTGAACATCTGCATTAGTTCTGGATCATTCATCTAAGGCAGAGGAAAATTCAGCCCAGGGTCAACAGGAGGAGCCCTTGTTTACACCAAGGGGAGGGGCTCCTTGGGGGTAGTTAGCACCTGAGCCAATTCCTCACTCATTTTGCAAGATCAAGTCCAAACTCCTCAGCCTCAGTCATATGAGGAAATGACTCTACCTTGGGAAGCGGTTTTTCAAAGTATTGCTCCTGTGCATTTTGAAACATGAACAGAAAACAGTAGTGATAAGATACTGGGAAATTATTTCACTTTAAAGGTGAAAGAAAGGCCTTGGGTGTTGGAGAAGGCTGGTGAGGTCAGATGGGAAGGGCTTAATCACTGCTGATCTTAGTCATCTCTTCCCTCCAAATGTGCGGGAAGTTAGAGGTGTCCCTGTGCTGGAAGCAGGAGACACACAGGTCCTAGGGAGACCATGAACTTGGAACCAGACCTCTCCTTTTCTCCTGACTTTCCCTCTGCATGGAAGTTCCAACCATCTTAATAAACAAAATAAAAACAACTTCACCAATAGGGAAAAGACTAAATAAATTATAAAATGATTAAATATATATTTAATTTATACTTACCTAATATATTAATACATTTCACTTCATATAAAATGGTATGATTTTATCCACTGTTAAAATTGGGATTTTAAGTCATATGTACTGCCTTTATAATAAAATATCAGCATTACCAAACAAAAGCCTAAAATTTTGGTTTAAAAGCATTGAGTTTTTAAAAGTTTGTATTAACACTCCCTTTTTTTCAATTCGGAGGAAGTCCTTTATTAATCTAGCTCACTTAATTTTTCATATCATTTGGCTTTTAAATGTAGTAAGAGCAGTTCGCTAGTTTGCTGACTCTCTGGCCTGTGCAGTTTCCCTTCCTCATGTCACCATGTCTCTTTGTCCGCATTCCGAGCAAACTTCTTCAGCTCACCTAGAGCATTGCAATCTGACCTCAGCCTCTGTAGCTCCAGGAAAACTGCTCCCCAAGGTCACCAGCACCTCATGGGCTAAATTCAGCAGGTACTTTTCAGGTCTCAGGGTAGAGATTTCTGGGTAGTGTTTGACACTTGGCAACCCCTGCCAAGGAGGGCCACCGAGGGTCTCTCCCTTTAATTCCCATATATCCTCCCTCCTGATTTCCAAACATGCCCCCTCCTTCCGGCCTCTTGTCCTTAGCCTGTCCTTAGAGACTGCCATTCCCCAGCGTTCTCTCCCGAGTGCCCTTTCTGTTCCCTCTACTTGCAGCTCCCTCCCTCGGATTCAATTCTGCTGATCAGACAATGCCCCTCCTGAGCTCCAGATCCAAGACCCACAGCACCCCAAACCCCACAGCCTCAAGCCAGCCGCTCCTCCTGCCTGGTTCAGCCCGGAGGCCCCCATTCGATCTGAATCGCAGGGGGTGGGAAGTGGGTGGTGGTTCTTGCCTTCTCCCTTTCTGTAACCACCTTATTCAATTCATCTTCAAATCCTATACCTGCTCCTCCTTTGGAACTCTCAAACCCACTCCCTCCTCTCCATCCTCCACACAACGAGTCATTTCTATAAAATGCAAATCTGACGAGACCATTCCCCTTTTTAAAATTGTTCAAGGGATACTTGCCACCTTTGGAGCACAGCGTCTTCCCTGCAGCCCTCCTTCTGGAGCTGCCCACCTCTGCAAGCCCTGCCCTGCAGCAGACCTCACCCCATCAATCCGCCCACCCCTCCTTCAACTCCTCCAGCAGGTGGTGGTACCCCAGGCTTCCAGGTCTTAATCCAAAATCCTACTGCTGCGTAACCCAGATTGGCCAAGGCCTCACCAGCCTCTGAAAACAAATGAGGATACTCTCTTGGTAATGACCTAGATTTCTCTGGTCCATGTTGTGCAAGTTTGGCATCTTCCAATCTCCACTCCAAATATTTCTAGAAGTTCCCAAGAGTGTGTCACCAATGTCCACACACAAGTCCAGCTGCTGCCTAATGGTCTATTGGGTGCTTGTTGAGGACGTAATTGCCTTCCCAGCATCCGTTTCATACACCCCACTCCCCCTGTAGTTGCCAAACAGTGTAAACAGCCTGACCCCATCTCAAGCCTGAGGGATCCTGACCGGCCGAACCCAGGGTTTCTCAACCTCAGCACTATTGACATGCGGGGCCAGTTAGAGGTGGGAGTGGGACTGTCCTGCAGGTTGTGGGATGGTCAGCAGCATCGCTGGACTAGATGCCAGACATGCACACACACCCCTGTGACAAGATGTCTTCAGATATTGCAAAATGTCCTGGGGGGGTGGGGAGGGAGCAAAATTGTCCCTGGTTGAGATGCACTGGTCTAAGC